CTCGGTCCCCTGCATTCAATCCAGCAATGTCGCATCTGGTGATAGGAGGCTTTGGAACCCAATCTTGACGTATTTTACCACCTTGCATACCGTCATTGGCCATGAAAAAAAAGCTCAGGATCTTTCGGTATATCCAAATAAATAATTGTGAACATCAACGTCATATAGTTGTATAAGTATTCAAGTGTTTCTAAACCCTGCAATCCCGTCTCTTACTGTGATGGATGTGATGTGCCTATGTGAGTCCACCACTGTCTTGACTTGGGCCTGGGCGTGCGTGTTGAATACGTCCAGTGTGTGTTGCGTTTCGGCATCTAGATTGAGGTGCTAAGACGAAGGTATACAGATGTAGGGTCATGTGAGTATATGTGCGCCTAAACAATTCGAACCCACTATAATAAGCGACAAGGAAGCAGAGAGTTTCGGGATTCGTGAGTAAGGACTTGTGAGAACTCAATAAAAGTCACATAGAGCGCCACGAAAGTACTGTTAATATTTTTTTTTGACAATAAACATAGACGGAATCATATGAATATATATGTGCTCACGACATGCGATACCTATGATTGGCCCATCTGCACACTGTCCGTAGGACATACACACACACACTCTCTCTCTCTCTCTTCTCTTTCTCTCTCTCTCCCACACACACACACACAAACACACATGTATGTGGTATGTGTAGATGTGTTCACGTATATGCGTGTGCATGCATGCGAGCGTGCATGTAGGTTTCGTTCGCGGGCAACCATGTAAATCTCTATACAGAAAATCTCCGCACATAGTGTATGCGTGTATGTGTATGACTGTACATCAATACAAGGACGAGTGTTTTTGGCACTGAATGAAAGTCTTCATATGTGAGCACGAATGCGGTTCTGGGTACGTAAGCAGTTGTGAGTGTTAGCATGTATGGATCTAGTTGTAGATTTGTACGTTTATAGGAGCGTCAGATACTTGAGAAGGAAGTGTTCTATATGAAAACGTACTCTGCGTATGTCTACGTTGAAGGAATATGAACATACTAACAGATACATAGAGATCAAATACACATGTAAAACAAACAGTTCCAGAACGAAGCCGAACTTCAAAATCAACTATGCCTATATGAAGACTTACAAAAACTTTTTCTCCGTAGCTTCCAATCATATACCTATAAGTACAAAACCTATTCACACCCGCGTGGATTAGGAAACACCGCATGCGTACAGAACCCCTTTCGTTCGGACAACTGAAGAAAATACATGCATACTCGTAACAACACACACTCTATTTGTACACTCCGACTTTGTACCTTCACACTCAAAGCATCCAGAAGATCATCTAGCGCCCACCCCAGCGCACTCACTATAGCTCTATCGTAAGCCCGCCCCAGATCCCCTTGCGGTAAAATAGGTGCATTGGGCCCTAGAATTCCAATTCGAGGTGCACCCGGGATTTGGGCTTGGCGGACATCCGTGGATGGGGCCGGCGAAGGGAGCGAGGCCGTAGCTGTACATGTACACATATCAACCAACTCACTCACAAGGGATGTGAACCACACGTACAAGCAATTACGTAGAGACCCTCGGTGACGACTGCCCACGAATACGACCGTCGATAAGCACTCCTGTATAAGTAGCGTAGCGTGAGATATGACAGGTAGTTGATTCATTGACAGTATACATCGGCAGCCTTGTGTAGGTGTAGGGGTAGTCAGCCAAGTCTCTTTGTGTGCGAGGCGAAACAAGTCGTGTATAGTAGGTTGAGATATGCGGGTATGCGTAAATGCATACACCTGAAAAAGTGTCCATACATACATGTATATAATATACAAATGTATGTATACACACCCACCACACATATACATTTTACACCAACCCACACACATACACAGCTACACACACACACACACACACACACACAACAAC